TAAGATCCATCTTTGGAGAAAAATTAACTTTACAAAGGCTCTGCCGAATTTCAGATGATGTGAAGGTCCTTAGGTTTTTGTGATTCAAGTTTAAGAGAATGGAGAGGGGGAGTCTGCATAGGTCCAGGCTGGGGGGAAGCAGGGTAGGATGCTGGCTTGCGGCAGGGTGAAGGGGCAGGGTTCCTTTGTTATGGAGAATGCAGTCCAAGGGCAAATTGGAGAGAATTTGAAATTGAAAATAATATTCATAATAAAGAGCTAAGGGGGTGGGGGAGAAAGAAGGTACAAATAAAACACTAGCCAAGCTGACTAGGGATGAGGAGGGATTTGTGGAGGTTTGGAGAATGGGCTTTGGAGCAGCTTTGGGAGAATGAGAAAGAAGAAAAAGGAGAGTTTTAAGTATTGCTGTGGGTGACAAATTGGATCTTTTAAAAAGGATGTTCTTTGAGAAAAGCAAGTAAAAAGATGGGAATTCCTCTTGAAAGAGTTTTGGCTACTAGGCCTTGTTTCTTTCAGTATGAAATTGAGCCATGTGGAATCCACATTGAACAGAAAACTAGGGCTTGGAGAGCCAACCTTTTACTAACATCACACAAACAGTAAAGGGCTAAGTCAGAATTTGAATTTTTATTTTTTTTAATTAATTAATTTACTTATTTAAATTTATTTATGTATTTATTTTTGGCTGAGTTGGGTCTTCGTTGCTGCACATCGGCTTTGTCTAGCTGTTTGTCTTTGTCTTTGGCAAGCGCGGGCTACTCTTCATTGCAGTGTGCCGGCTTCTCATTGTGGTGGCTTCCCTTGTTGAGCACGGGCTCTACGCGTGTGGGCTTCAGTAGTTGTGGCATGTGGGCTCAGTAGTTGTGGCTCTCGGGCTCTAGAGCACAGGCTCAGTAGTTGTGGCACACGGGTTTACTTTCTCTGCAGCATGTAGGATCTTCCCGGACCAGGGCTCGAACCCATGTCCCCTGCCTTGGCAGGTGGATTCTTAACCACTGCTCCACCAGGGAAGTCCCTAAGTCAGAATTTGAACCCAGTCCTCTCCAGTTTCAAGGTCTGTCAGTTTTTCATTCTCACATGCTACCTGTGGTTCAGAAATCTGTTGAATCACATTTCTACAAATTCCATTGAAATTGTGATAGGAAGCATTATTCCTCATTTATGAGCTTTCTACCCGAGAATCTTTTTGTTTCAGGGATGGTGGGAGGTCAGTTAGTGAATCCTTTCCTTGCCATGCTTTCTGGTTTTCGTTTATAATTTCTAGTTCAGTCTTTCTGCTTAAGAACATCCCCTGATTTAAAAGACCTTCAGAGATACACCTGAAAGTAACACAACATTGTAAGTTAATTATACTTCAATAAAGTAAAAATTTAAAAAAAAAATATATATATGTAAAAGACCTTCAGAGAGATAATAATTTCAAAACCTAAACTCTCCCCAGGGATAAAAGAGGAAACATCTCTGCAAGTGTGACCTATTTACAAGCATCACAGGCTCCCACTCTGTCTGGGGAGGTGACAGTATTTTGAATCATAAGGAAATGGAAAGATCTGAATTTAAAAGACTCTAGGATACATTGTCTCAAGAGTTTGGAAATACAAGAGTCATTGGCATATAATACCATTAGAAACATGGACAAGATGAAATAATCATAACTGTGATGAAGATGATGATGGTGATACCAGCCATATTGAGTGCTGCTTGGAGCAGGCACTATGCAAATTGCTTTACATGTGTGCAAGATAATATTTTGAGATATTAACTTTTCTTTCTCTTTTCCCCCATCCTAACCAGGCAGTTAGTTCTTTTCCTCAGAGGAGGTATCAACACAGATAATAAAAGTGGCCTAGAAGTTTCTCTGTCTTTTGCTCACCTTGAGTCTTTAGAAGAACTTGGAGAGTTTATGAAGGTAAAAGGGAGAAGTAGATTTGTAAGAATAGCTAGAACAGTGGTTCTCAAACTTCTTGATTTCAGGACCTCTTTATGTTCTTAAATATTATTGAAAACCAAAAAGTGCTTTTGTTTACATGTTACTTTCAGATAATTTGTGGATATTCTTTTAGGGTATGTTAAAGAGAAAACCACAGGCCCCAAATGGTGTCACTTATGCTGAAGCCCTAGACTAAATACCTGATGTAATAGTAGTTTTGACCTTACCCAGGAATGTAATCTTAATCTGCCAGTCTGGAATTTTCTAGTCAGCACCAGTGAGGTAATCAGTCACATGGGCCCTCTCTATATCACCCTCCTCCCCTGAGAAAGGAAGAACAGGTAATCTGCATGGTAGACCCTCATCCTTCCCCTAGAAGAAGGTGACCTGGCCTGAAACAATCCTTTCTTTTCCTTTGTTAATAGCTTCCTTGCCCCACCCTCCTTCTGCCTTTAAAAACCTTACATTTTGTTCAACCCATCAGAGTGCCCTTCTGCTTTCTAGGTGGGATGCCCTCCAATTCATGAATTGTTGAGTAAAGCCAATTAGATCTTCAAACTTACACAGCTGAATTTTTTTTTTTTTTAAACAGGTACTATACTAAAACGCAACAAGTGGTAATTTATAGTCTAGTTGCAGTGTGGAATCTGAAACCACATAAATGAACTTTTTGTCTGTCGTTACATTAAAATCCATTCATCTGTGTTGAACTTAGAATGGATCCTCTACCCTTGCATGAATTTGCTGGCCATTCAGAAAAACATTGGCTCACTGAGTGAGTTATGCAGATCTTCCAAATGTTAACATCTTTCACTATATAATATTAAAAGATGACATTGGTTGTCACCATTGATCTCATCAGAAAAGTTAACACATCAGGAAGCTGTACAGGTTTTCCAAAAAGCTATATTTTATCATTGGCAACAAATGTCACTTGCTTATTTCTTTATTTTTAACTAGCAGGCTCACTTTGTTCCTTTGGTAGAAAATACCAGCCTAAAGCCCAGGGGCAAATAAGATGGCTGTCTGTTAGTAGTTCTTTTAATTAAAAAGAAAAAAGGCGGCTAGTTTAGCTCACAGCCCAATTCCTCTAGTGCTTTGTGGCAGAAGTGCAATGTAGCAGAAGGACATTCTGTGTATTTCCCATTTCACCACACAGTCATATTAAAAACATGTGTATACAAGGGTCAAGATTTAATAAAAATAATACTTTTTACTGCTTCATCAAGGGCATTCTTAAGTGAAACTGTTTTGTTCTTTACTGCAAGTGTGTGGTAGAAGAGAATACAACTGTTACTATAGTTTGGTACTGCTGGGGAGGAAAAACTTTTCCTGTACCCTTTTAGATTCTGTGCTTGAGAGTCTTCAGAGTAAACTGACAAACAACAAGTTAGCAAAAGAAAAGACAAATTTTTATTCAAGTAAGGATACGCTGGAGTTCACAGAAAATGTGACTCAAAGAGGTGGAATTTGTATGGAATTAGAATTTGGGACATATATAACACCTTACTAAGGGAAAGAGAAACGCCCTTAAACGAAAACAGTTGACTTCTTAATAAGGGTCTGGGGAGAAAGGGCACTGAGGGGAAAACAAATGATCTTTTGGAAAGATGAATGGGCTCTTAGGAGAAAGTCTGTGTAGAGGTAGGTGTGGCGACTTATCATCTACAGGGATAATAGTTGCTCCAAGGCAAGGGATTTATGACAATTGAGTTCTTTTCTTTTGTTTCTTTTAATAAATTTATTTATTTATTTGTTTTTATTTTTGGCCGTGTTGGGTCTTCATTGCTGCGCACGGGCTTTTCTCTAGTTGCGGCAAGCGGGGGCTACTCTTTGTTGCGGTGCGTGGGCTTGTCATTGCGGTGGCTTCTCTTGTTACGGAGCACAGACTCTAGGTGCTTGGGCTTCAGTACTTGTGGCATGCGGGCTCAGTAGTTGTGGCTCGGGGGCTTAATTACTCTGCGGCATGTGGGATCTTCCCGGCCAGGGCTCAAACCCATATCTCCTGCATTGTCAGGCAGATTCTTAACCACTGCGCCGCCAGGGAAGTCCCAATTCATCAGTATTTTAAATGATAAACTTTGTGTTCGTGCAAGAAAATTCAGCAGTAAAGAATGGTATGACGTGATTTCCTGGTCCCAGTCCTTACTCACCATTAATAGTTTCTTATATGTCCTTCTGGAAAATGTCCATGCTTATAAAACCAAATACATGCACACACACACACATGCTTCAACAAATAAAACAACTTGTATACAAATAAATATATATGATCTGTTAATAAAATCATAAATAAGAGCATAATATGCATTCTATTCTGCAACTTTTTTTTAACAATTAAGTGTTTGTTGGGCATTTTCACACAACAGTACAATTGATTCGCTACATTTAAAAAATTAGTTTCATATTATTGCAATATTTATGTTAGTATGCTTTAATCATAGCCTTAGCAACCGACATTTATGTTGCTCATATATATTTTTAAAAATAGGTATTACTTAAAAAAAATAGGTATCACTTAATTGGCCTCCAATATGTTGCACCAATTTACACTCCTACCAATGGCATATGTGCGTGCCTGGTACTCAGCACCCCTATTGTCACTGAGGATTATCAAACCTTTAAAAAATAGATTTAAAAATTTATCTAAGTCTGTCTTTTGCAGTAGAAATGTATATGCATTGGAAATGCATGAAGTCAGCACATTTACCTGAGTAGACAAATTGTAGAGTCCCACATCAGTGTAAGAGTAAGGTAGTGGGGAGTCATTAATTTGTTTCTCTGGTTTATTTTCCTAAGATTTGGGACTTAGAAAGCATTTTCTCATACAGTGCTCCAAATGGTGAGTGGGTTCACAGGCTAGATGGGGATGTTATACTATAGAAGGTACTAGGCCTCTAATTCCAGCTTCCAGGGTACTTGTAGTTAATATCCCCAAAATGTAAGGCTGTGCTGGTAGTTTGAGACTCTTAATCACTGTTTAACCATGTTTTTTTTTATTTTGTTTCGTTTGAAATACATTCAGACATCCAATTTGGGAGGTCAGAAACACACTTCCCCTCTATTGTAGTTATATGGCGCGTACCCACCACCTCACCTCTCCTACCTTCCTCATACTGGGAGACAAGTCTTCCCCGGAGTTTTGGATCTCGGCAGGCGGACATGCCATCTTACACACTACCCTCGACTGAACGTGAAAACAACCTGAGAAACACAGACTATTCAATGGGAGAAGGGAGAAGAGGAGTGAAGGAGGTAGATAAAAATCCCCCTTGGCTATGGAGAAAAGGCCGAGGGTTTCAGTTCCCTTGTTTGAGGCAAAGATGGCACAGAGCCCCAGGAATAGGCTTAAAATAGTGATCCTGGCAGGGCATACAAGACTTCTGAGATTGATCAGAAAAGCTTCCAGCTTATGAGATCTCCAGTGTCTTTTTTCAGCCAGCAACTGGAATAGCAGGGTAAGTCATTTTTCTAATTTCTTGATATACTTCTTATCAACAAATAGTTTTTTCAGACTTCTTGGGTGAGAAAGCAGAGGGGAAGGAACCTGTTTCCTGGAAATAGCTCTGCCATATTTCACCAGAAATACCTCATAGCCTCATTGGTTGTATTTCTTAAGGCTCTGATGAAGTTCTATGTTCTCAGAAAGAGGGGACAAGTAAATACAAGTCCACTTCAACGTTCTGAATTCCTGGGTGCAGAAAGTATAGTATGTATACTCTCATCTCTATACGCATCACAGTATTTGTTACTGGCACTGAGAAACAGCATTCGGTGAGCCCAGAAACACTTGGATTTTGTACAACTTTTTTTTTTTTTAATGAATCCTTATCTTAAAATGTCTGTCAACTTTCTTTAACTTTTTAATTTTTTATTGTCTCTTTTAATCTTTTAAAAATTGAGGAATAATTGACTATCAACTAGTTTTTTTTAATAAATTAATTTTATTTATTTATTTTTGGCTGCATTGGGTCTTTGTAGCTGTGTGGTCTTTCTCTAGTTGGCGGCAAGCGGGGGCTACTCTTTGTTGCCGTGCGTGGTCTTCTCATTGCGGTGGCTTCTCTTGTTGAAGAGCATGTGCTCTAGGCACGCAGGCTTCAGTAGTTGTGTCCCACAGGCTCTAGAGTGCACACTCAGTAGTTGTGGCACACGGGCTTAGTTGCTCCATGGCATGTGGGATCTTCCCGAACCAGGGATAGAACCTGTGTCCCCTACATTGGCAGACAGATTCTTAACCACTGCCACCAGGGAAGCCCTCAACTAGTTTTTAAAATTTAAAATCACAACTTCTGGTAGCAGGTTTAAAGAAACTAATTAAAGCTAAGTATTAAAGAAATTCAGATGGCCATCAAATATTTGCCCTCCAAAAAGAATGCCAGCCCTAACTGATTTCATTAATGAGTTCTACCAAATCTTCAAAGCATACTTAATATCTATCTCATGCAAACTGTTCTAGAAAATAGAAAAGTTCAGAAATGGCCAGTTCATTTTGAAGGCCAAAGTCTTTTTTTCATTTGTTCATTCATTCATTTATTTATATTCAGTTTTTTAAAATTGAGGTATAGTTGACATATAACATTGTATAGTTTTATATAATAGGTGTTGTACACCTGTTAGTTTCAGGTGTAGAACATAGTGATTTGATATTTGTATATATTGTGGAATGATCACCACAATAATTCTAGCTAATAACTGTCACCATATATAGTTGCAAAAAAATATTTTTTTTCTTGTGATAGGGACTTTTCCAGAGGCCAAAAGTCTTGATTCAAAAACTAGATAATGGACTTCTCCGGTGGCGCAGTGGTTAAGAATCTGCCTACCAATGCAGGGGACACGGGTTCTATCCCTGGTCCGGGAAGATTCCACATGCCTTGGAGCAACTAAGCCTGTGCACCACAACTACTGGGTCTGAGCTCTAGAGCCCGCGTGTCACAACTACTGAAGCCCGCGCACCTAGAGCCCGTGCTCCGCAACAAGAGAAGCCACCGCAGTGAGAAGCCTACGCATCGCAATGAAGAGTAGCCCCTGCTCGCCACAACTAGAGAAAGCCCACACGCAGCAACAAAGACCCAATGCAGCCAAAAATAAATTAAAAATAAATAAATTTATTTAAAAATAAGGACAATACATGAAAATTATTGACCCCAAACACTTATGAATGTAAGTGCAAAAAAAAAAATCTAAAGTATTAGCTAAACAAATCCAAAAACAGTATTTAAAAAATCATACATCAAAATCTAGTAGTTTATTCTAGTAAAGCCATACTGGTTCAAAAGTGGAAAATCTACCAGTGTAATTTACTACATTAAGAACCTAAAGTAGAAAAATCATTATCTAAATTGAGAAGAAAACACTGGATAAGTCTTAGTGCCTATTTATGATTTTTTTAAAAAGCAAGAACTCTGAGACTTCCCTGGTGGCTCAGTGGTTAAGAATCTACCTGCCAATGCAGGGTACACGGGTGTGAGCCCTGATCCGGGAAGATCCCACATGCCGCAGAGCAACTAAGCCCATGCGCCACAACTATGGAGCCCGCGTGCCACAACTACTGAAGCCTGTGCGCTTAGAGCCCATGCTCCGCAACAAGAGAAGCCACCCCAATGAGAAGCCCCGCGCACCGCAATGAAGAGTAGTCCCCATTCGCTGCAACTAGAGAAAGCCTGCAGGCAGCAATGAAGACTCAACGCAGTGAAAACAAATTAATTAATTAATTAATTAATTTAAAAAAAAGCAAGAACTCTTAGCAGAGTTGGAGTATAGAGCTTTCTTAATTTGATAAAGATTTTATACCAATTTCAGACATGTCTTAAAGATTGAAAACAAATCCTTGTTAATTTACCACAGTGCTTGTAGGGGAGGAAAAATAGTTTTTCCTCTATCCGTCTGAGTTCTTAGCTGAGACCCCTGAAATAAAAGGCAGATTAACAAAACAGAAGAAAAACAGAAGTTTATCAACACGTATACCTCATGGATACATGGAAGATACCCAGGGAAAAATAAGTAATCACTGAGGTGTCTTAGAATTCAGGATTAAATACCAGTTTAATAGGGAAAGAGGATGGGAGATGTAGGCATCTTAGGGATGAGTAAATGATTTTTAGGAAAGGCGAATGGGCCTTTAGAAAAATAATTGTGAGTGACAGTTTGTCTGGGTGTGGTTTCAATTTCTAGTCTCCTCTCCTGTGATAAGAGTCAATCTTCCCTGGTTGATTAAATTCGCAGGGTGGGGATTTATGACAACCGGGTTTCTTTTTGGAGGATCTGTCTTTAGGCAGATAAGGAGAGTTCAATGAAAGCCTCCCCCTGCATTTGCTGCTTTTCAAATGCTAACAGCTCAAAATAACCAATGTACCAAAATGGCACATTTTGGAGTGGCATGTTCTGAACTCCTACAGTCATATTTTGGGGTGGCATTATTCTCCTACCCATCATGCTATAAGGAAGAGAAAAGTTGTATTGGTTTATTTTATCAGATGTCACATACAGGTTCTGTGAAGATGATTTGTAGAGTGTTGAAAACAGAAAAACAGAAAAAATTGTTGTGGACTTTTGTCATTTTTTTTGGTTGTCCAGTTTCCAACTCTTCTTCCTTTATGGGAGAAATCCTTTATTGTTTATAATCATGGACATGAGATGCAATGCTCTGCTTCCCACAGTGGAACCTTATGTGGGAACATCTTCCTCTTTCTTGAACTGTAGCCCTTCTGCAGCCAGTGTGAGATATGATCTTGGCTTAGCCAATGAGATGCTCCTACCTGGACCCTACTCTAGCCAGATGGCCTATGATGGTTCGATTGTGCTAGCTGTGGCAGTGATCAATGGGGGCCATGTCCAGCAGCTTCCTACTGCTTGGTCTTCCAGAGCTGTCTTGACTCCTGCATGTCTTCTAAGTTTGGTGTTCCTTTCCCATTGACTCATTGAACCCATGAGAGCCTTCAGTAAATTCTCATTTTTCTTTTCATTTAAAGTTTTATGTATATGCAACTAAGAACCTTGACTGATACACCTTTCTTTCTGTCACCTAGAAGCAATTCAGTTAATGTTTTATTCTATTTCTTTCCATATTTTTGCTTTGCATTTTTTATATAATTACGATCAAGCTCTCTACTTTTTTTTTTTTTTTAAGAACAATAAACACCTTTATTACATGGACTAAGATAGGAAGGAGGAGGACTCATTTGCCTTTCTGGGCCTTGATTTTCCTTAGATAGAGCTCCAGCTCCTTGCCCTCCAGCACATAGCCATCTGCTTGGCCACACTGGCCTGGTCTAAAAGTGATGCATGCAAGAAGCTTGCCCTGCTGGAACTGCGCCTCTAGAAGACTGCTGATTTGAGCATTCTTTTTCCTTTCATCATATTTCTTCTGAATTTTCTTTGTTTTTTGTTTAAAATGTCTTAGACATACAAATGGCCAACAAACACATGAAAAGAGGGCTTCCCTGGTGGCACAGTGGTTGAGAGTCTGCCTGCCGATGCAGGGGACACGGGTTCGTGCCCTGGTCCAGGAAGATCCCACATGCCGTGCAGCGGCTGGGCCCGTGAGCCATGGCCGCTGAGCCTGCGCGTCCAGAGCCTGTGCTCCACAACGGGAGAGGCCACAACAGTGAGAGGCCTGCATACCGCAAAAAAAAAAAAAAAACACATGAAAAGATGCTCAGCGTCACTAATTGTTAAAGAAATGCAAATCAAAACTACAGTGAGGTATCCCTTCACACCCATCAGAATCGCACCGTTAAAAAATCCCCAGACAATAAATGCTGGAGAGGGTGTGGAGAAAAGGAACGCTCTTGTACTGCTGGTGAGAATGTAAATTGATACAGCCACTGTGGGGAACAGTATGGAGGTTCCTTAAAAATCTAAAAATAGAACTACCATATGACCCAGCAATCCCACTACTGGGCATATACCCAGAGAAAACAGTAATTCAAAAAATGCACACACCCCAATGTTCATAGAGCACTATTTACAATAGCCATGACATGGAAGCAACCTAAATGTCCATCAGCAGTGGAATGGATAAAGAAGATGTGGTACATATATACAATGGAATATTACTCAGCCATAAAAAGGAATGAAATTGGGTCATTTGTAGAGATGTGGATGAATCTAGAGACTGTCATACAGAGTGAAGTAAGTCAGAAAGAAAAACAAATATCATATATTAATGCGTATATGTGGAACCTAGAAAAATGGTACAGGTGAACTGGTTTGCAGGGCAGAAATTGAGACACAGATGTAGAGAACAAACGTATGGACACCAAACGGGAAGCGGCGGGTGGGGGGTGGTGGTGTGATGAATTGGGAGATTGGGATTGACATATATACACTAATATGTATAAAATGGATAAGTAATAAGAACCTGCTGTATAAAAAAATAAAATAAAATTCAAAAGAAAAGAAAAAAAGAAAGAAATTCCTTCCCAGGTAGGATTTAAAGAAGTTAAAAGCTCTCCTC